TCGTTGAGACATATTCCAGCTGTCTTCGCTGCGGCGTCGTGTACCAATCTCGGCGGCTTGTTCGGTTTCGCAGGGTTGATGACTGGGAAGTGTGGCAGATACCATGTCCTTCCTTGCGGCGGTGGCATTGGCGCGCGCTCTGCGTAACCCGAGTTGAAGAGGTTCTCGATGCGTTCTTCGTACTGTAGCTTGAGATTGCTGTCTCGGTCGAGCCTCTTCTCTAAGGTGTGCAGGCGCCTTTCCGCTTCTTTATAATTATTTGGTATTTGGAAGTCCTTTTGTTTCCACAACAACCCTGTCTCGAATCTGCCGTCCGCTGACCTCTGGCTGGTTTCGTCCAATATTTGCATGGCTCGCTGCTCGGGATCTTCTTTCGGTCTTCTCGGCTCGATGCACAGCGACTCCAATTTGAAATAATTTTTTATTTCTTCTTCTATCGGTGGTGCATCTTCCCTCTGATGTAGTCTGCCGCAGAAGGTGACCGTCGACGTCAATGAGCTATGACAGCCATGCAGAACCCAGCCCAGGTTGGTGTATGAGGCGACTGGTTGGTCTCGACGGCCGACGCGCAGTTTTCTAGACACTATGAGGTGCCAGTTATCTTGCCCGATTAGTACTTTCGGTGAGGCGCGTTCGTAGGTGATATCCTCTTTGATATCCAACAGATGTGGGCAATTCCCCAAGTGATCTTCATTCACGGATTCTGGCGCGAAGTCCAACCGCTCTACAGTACGCGCTGCTTCTATGTTGTGTTCTTCTTGCGCGTACGTTCCTCTTATTTTAAAGCTGACGATCTTGCTCTTCTCGTGTTTCACCTCCGAGCCGACCCCTTGTATCCACATTGTGTGGGCTGGGCCGTCGGCGCCGATGACGTCGGCGATTGAGGCATCGACTAAGGTGACCGTGCTCCCTTCATCCAATAATGCGTATGTTTCGACGCAGCTTAGCGGCCCCCTTATTGTTACGGGCGCAATCTTTAGGTAAGCGCGGCGGTGCTTGTACGGTCGAGTCGCTGTGTTGACCTCCTTTGCCGATGTTGCGGTTTCCATAGCGGGTTCTTTTTCCATTACTGCTGTTCTGTCGTGATGCAACAATTTATGGTGTTTCATCATGCATCCGCCTTTTCCGCACGTGGAGCTTTGCACAGTAATCGACGATGTTTGCCTCGCAGACAGCGGTAGCAGATATTGTACTTCTTTGCTACTTCCCATCTGTCATTTGTGGACAGAGCGGCGTATGACTTGCAATCGGGCAGTTTGTGTTCTTGTTTGCATTGAGGGCAGCGTTCTTCATATGGTTTCTTGCTTGTGGCGAAGGCACGTTCTATTTTTCTCGGTCTTCGCTCTCTCGTTTCGCTGTCCTCTGCGATGAACTCCGGCAAGGCATACGCGCTGCATTTATCCGCTTCTTCGTTTAAGAACATTGATATCTTCTTAAGCTCTGGGATATCTTCTTTCTTTCTGGCTGCATAGTCGTACCATTTGCTTTTCAATATGGGCGTGAGTTTGTCTGTGATAACTCGCGTCATTTCTGGACTATGCAGATAGTGTGCTTTCTTGAGTGCTTCCACGGTGCCCACTACGTTCGCTATGCGATTTGCGAATATGCATAGCTCCCTGGGATTGTCCGTAACTTTGTTCAGCAGCTTCAGCTTCTCTATTTCCAAGTGAATTAACGCTTCTGGTCGTCCGAATCTCCTTTCCAAAGCTTCTATTATAATTCTGGGATCTGGTTGGCTTATAAGTAGGCAACCTGCGGCTTCTTTTGCTGTCCCTTTTAAGCTTCGGCGTATTCTCGCTATGTTTTCGTTCGCCGTGAAGTACTTTGAAGATTCTTCGTACATTGTCTTGAAGCTGAGCCACTCCTTGCTGCTACCATTGAATGAGGGCAGCTCTTGTATATATTTCGGCGGCTCCCTTGTGCTTCGTACTGCTTGTGATAGAGCAGCGGCTAAGGTAGCGACGTCGATTTGCTGCTGCGCCTGTCCATAGTCTTCTTTCTGCGGCGCGGTATGTTGCGGAGCGTATTGCGGCGCACACTGTTGAAGTACGGGTGGTGCGATCTGCAGTGCTGGTTGCGGCGCGAAGTACGACGTGGGTTGCGGCGCGGGCTGCGGCGCGGGTTGTGGCGCGGGTTGTGGCGCGGGCTGAGGCGCGGGTTGCGATGTAGGTTTTTCTTGCAACCATGTACTAATGCGCACTGATGCCAAATCGTCTTCTATTTCTTCATCTTCATCGGTTGATCCGGCTTCTGCTTGTAGTCGCTGCACGTGTATTTCTTGCAATTCTGTTCTTGCTTGCAACTGAGCCTGCTCGAGCCTGAGTTCGGCTAACCGCTCTTTCGCCTCTAACTCCGCGAGGAGTCTCTTGCGTGAGGCTACGGAGCGGCGTGACCTAGTCTCGCCGGGCTTCAATGTGCACTGCGATCTTTGATCACCCTCTTGCTGGGTTTCTTCCGTTGCGGTTGTTCTATCGGTTGCCGAGGTAGCGGTCGTATCGCTGACCGTTGTGGTTTCGCTAGTGGTGTTTGTTGAACCACTAGCGGCTGAGTCGCCCCCGGAGGCCTCTTCTGTGGCCCCCTGGGTTGTTTGTTCATCCTTGCGACGCTTCGATGATTCTCCGTTGTTACTACGCGTAATCACCATTTTTCTTCACAATAATATTTTTTCGTTCTTGCGGTTTGCTTCTTTCTTCCGGCAATACCAAGACCGATATTGTCTTTTTCTTCTAGTAATCCGGCTTCTCGAAGGACCATTAATATTACGGATCGCCGTAATGCCGTGCGAAAAATGGAATAAAACGCGCTGGTCTTGCTTTTAACTGGAGGCAAGCGGCGGTGAGGAGGAACTTGTACTTTTTCTTTTCTTGCTGGTGCCTTTTCGGTGGCTGGAGAGCGACTGCTGACCCTAGCGGCCGGCCCGTCTTTTATATGATTTGGCCGCTGCTGGCCAGCGGACCCTTGCCTCACCCCCGCGCCTATCTTTATTTATTTAATAACCTTACAAACTAATAAACATAATTCACTATATAATATTCTTATAACTACTTGTTAGACTAGGGTGTACATATCAATATTTTTACTTATTTACAGGTTTACATTATAATTTTCAGCTGCTTTAGGCGGAGAATCCTTCCCCCCGCCTCAGCACTATAAATATAAAACGTCGTGGCGCGGTGCGCGTGGCTTCATTTGCTCCGCGGCCGCGTCACGATAACATGCTCTTTGGTTACACTACTACTATTATTTTATGTGCCTAACGGCCTAATATATTTATTATATAATAAAGTAAACATTTATTATATTTAACAATTACAGTTTTCATTAGAAGACTATGCTAACTCTCCCTGTTCATACGGTGCCTTTATTTGGGAGAGTTATTGCACAGTTACAACTCAACCTTAAACTTAGTTATAATACAATCATTATTTTTTATCGTTCGATACAAGTAATACAATTATTTACACAAATTATAATTTAAATTCAACATAAGGTTGCGCTAGTCCCGCCGTATAACCCTTGCTAGTTGTCGAACCAGAGGCGTGGCCTGATAATTACACCGTCGTCATGGCTCCGCCCACCGCTCCTAGGTTGTTCAACTAGCGCCGGTTACAATAAGCATTTTCTTTCGTTTGTTTAATATTGTTGCGTCGTGCACAGACACATTACAAGTAAATAACAGTAATCACCAACCACTTCGGAAAAGTCGACTAATAAAGTACAAACCCGTTTTTAGTTATAACATATTTTCCTTACCTAAAACCGGTTTACCATGTAGTGGCGACGTAAGAGAATACAGAACTCGTACACTACTTCATATCATTCTCTGGGTGTCCTGAAAGGCAACTGAGGAAAGTTGAAGTAGGTGAAATAGGTTATATTTCCCTTTTAAGAGCCCAAAATAATAAAAAATGCGTTTTCCAACCCGCCCGTCAAGAGTAGAAATTATGGGAAATATCCCCCTATGAGGCAATGTATGGTGGAAACCAGTGTTCAGCGGTGGAGTTTGGTAGACTGTAATGTAAACCAATTTATACTGGATGCTTTTGTTACAACTGAATATCACGCGAATACAGCACAATACCAATTAACTTTGTCGAAACAACGAAAAATCAACATATCAAGTAAATTTTTAGCAAAATTAAATTGTTTTTAGGAATAAATTCTTGTTATTGCTAAGGTATTTTAGTTTGTAGCCAAGTCATTCAATAAAATTTAGTTTTAACTGATCCAGACGCGATTTTCATCAATTATATAACTATACGTTAACATAACATCCGAATTCTAAAATACAAAATTATTTCTTTAATGAAGCAATTAATTTAAATATATTAATTATATTTAATTATGTACTTATATAATATATTAATTATATTTTTATATTATAAAATGACTGATTATTATAAGGTTAATATACTTTTGTAACCAAGTGCTAATTCAGGGACCATCTGGTTTTTTCCATTACCTTAGTTTGTTTATAAACGTATCAACAGTGTCCATGGCAATAACCACGGATGTAAATAGTTCCGTGACTACATTTCTGTGTGAAAGTGCAATTCTCGACTCCGCGCCTTGGTAGAGAACGAAACTGAACAGATTTTTTATAGTTTAATTTATTTTATTCAACTTTTAAGGACTGCTAACATTAGTCAGCAATTATATTTATATATATGTATATAATAATATATAATTATAATTAAAGGTTTCTATTTGTGTTGATACAACAAAAAAATGTGTATGGATTAAATTTTTTTCAATGTGTAGTAGAATTCGCGTAAAAATAAGAAATTATTAGTGTTACAAAAATCACCTTCTCCTTAATTATTATCGTTCGTGTAAAGATTTTAAATGAACTGAACAAAGTGAAAAATTATTGCACTATCGTTTGTTTTACTTTAGTTTTTGTTGATAGTTTGTGATATTTTACCAACGTATAAACATATTGAGATTTGTTTATATCTTACTTGATTATTATTATTATTTAGAATACTTTAATAATTAAAATGACAACAAGTGTTTGCAAAGTAAAAGAAAAGCGTAACATCATGGTTATCAAACCTTCGAAATATGAAGGATTGGAAGCGGTACGACATAATAAAAAATATTGGAAAAACACTTTATCACAATTGCATGAAAATAAAAATCAACCTGTAAGTATAGCAGGCTTTGCAATATTTCTGTATACATAAAACATTTTTAATATTATTACTGATGGGTAATTTGGTTTTAGATGGATAGAAACGAAATGAAGGATCTGTCAGAAGTTAAAATGCCTAATGAACTTTGCGAAAGTGTTTGTAGCATTTTGGATTTTGATGTCTTAAGACAACCTAATGCACATAAATTACACTTACCTGGTAATTGTTTTTACTTTTTGTAAATATAAAAGCATTATATGTAATATTATATATAATAGTTTTAATCTTACTTACCTATACCTTACACAAAAACTTAACATTCATTCGGATCACTTCGCAATGTGCTTGGCTGTCAGTGATTATTTCAAGTAGTTAAAATTCCGCATAATCATAATAACATATTCATATGCAATTAGTTCCATGCACGTAAGGATTTTATATCAACTTTTTACTAAGCTGTTAAAAAGCTGCTGTAAATGAGGCAATATGAAATATACTACTTATTGAAATCGTTTCGTGGGATTAATTAAAGGGAAATAACTTATTCTAGCATTGTTCTTAATTTTATTTAATAATACATAGGTGCAACTGAAAACGGCTAAGAAAACTTTTGAAACGTCTTGGAAACTTGTTTACATTGTAAATGTTATTAACAACAACCCACAAAAACATAAATGTGAAGAAGGGAACAAGTTCAGACCCAGTTTTCGTTTGTCGCCTCTTACGACACATATAAGCAACTTATTTTATTTTAATCAATTAAAGTAAGTTGAAAATTCGTTGAAAAAGATGGAACTTAGCAATTGTTGAAAGTTACCTCTTTTATCGACGAAGCCGATAACGCCGCCCATTTTTTGGAACAACTTGGCCCCTTTTTAACACTCATGTATACTTTTATTAATTTTAAATAAATAATAACTTTTACAATTGCATTTTACGATTCACAGTTTTCTGTTTTTTTTTTTAATTTAAATTATAAGAATCAAATTATGTTGACAAAAATATAGTGTCGATAAAATTATTGGTGTGGTCAATTTTTAATACAGTACTTAGAACTAATCGCATCTATAACTTTGTCGACATTTTTTTTAACACCGAATATCGATAATTTGTAGTTTCAGATCGAATGTAGCTTAAATTGGTTCATTTAAATATACACACTGCCGTTGCGTCGACCTTTTCTTTGCCTAACTTAACTGACACACTGCCGTACGTACACCTTGATCTTTTTCAGAACAGGCTTACCGTAAATTAAGAAAAGAACCTTTGCTGTCATATAGAAAATCAATAATAATTGAGAGAGAATTAGATTCTGATACCGACGTCGAAATTTGCAGCAGGTAAAGATTAATTTACGAAGGAGCAATTGGAATCATTTTTACAATACATTTCTTAAATAAGAGTAAATATTCATCATCAGACGTGGTAGAGCCGTGCTGCAGCTATATTAGTAGTCTAGTTGTAGCACGAACGAGTCGGCTCGACCGGAGAAGGACCACGCTCTCACAGAATACCAGCGTAAAATAGTAGCTTAACGCTGCTGTGTTTCGTATGGTGAGTGTAGAGAACCGGAGACCTTTTTTACTGGAAAAGAGGCATTCCATCTTAATCCTCACGGATGATAACGCATCTGCATTTTGATTCTTTATTGAGATAGATGTAGATGTCTATGAGTCACAGCAACCACTTACCATCAGGTGGACTGTGTGCTCGTTTGTCACCCTAACCTATAAAAAAATCATCACCACAGCCCTCCACAAGTTCACAGCTGAGCATAGGCCACCCGTTTATATTATAATTACCTATGGGGAATTAATACCAAGGAATGCTTCTGCTACTTCCTGCACGTTTTTCCACGCAGTACCCCATTGTCACTTCATCAAGTTGGGGGCTGCCCTACACTCGAGAACCTTTCTTACCCATCGATTCAGCTTACTGATCCGTTGCTGCGGATACCTTCATTACGGATTGTATCATGCACAAACATTCTGAGGATAATCACCGAGTAAACTTGAGCTTCACGGTGAAGAACCACATCTCAGATTCATATCACTGGCAACACACACTGGTTGGCATTCTTGTATTCAAAGTTAAGAAATATTTTCTTGTGATTGACATCTCGGTCGAAGTTGGATTTAACTAGCGGATAATTTTTCCTAGATAATACTAGGACGTTAATTAATATTTGGACGATACACACTATGATATACGTGGTAGAGCCACGCTACAGCTATGTAATAGTTTTAGCGCGAATGGCACGGGTCGTCCGGGGTAGGACCACGCTCTCACAGAATAGCAGCGATAGATAGCGAGTTATTGCTGCTGTACTCCATATGGTTAGTGTAGAGAACCAGAGACCCTTTTTACTTTAAACGAGACTTTCCATCTTCCTCATCATCGTCCTCAGGGGTGACAACGCATCTGCTTTTTGATTTTTGATCGACGATAGATGTAGATGTCTATGGGCCACAACACTCACTCACCATCAGGTGGACTGTGTGTTCGTTTGTCATCTTATTCTACAAAAAAAAACATTGACTAATATTGGTAGATATTATTCTACCTTAAAGAGATATATAAATAGTGTGAACTTTTGTTATGATAAACAATTCCGCCCTACTTTTGTCCGCAATAGGGACATACTATAATATTATAATAAATATTGCGAAGTTTCGTTACTCCAGAATTAAAACATTTTTATACTATTACAGCGAAGATGAGAAGGACATTTCGAATATCCACCAACAATTTTTACGTAAACCTGAGCGAAGCCAAATTACATGGAATACTCGCTTCCTTCAACCGGAGAGAGAAGATGAGAAAAGTCTTGAAAAAAAAGCTAACGATCTCACAGAAAGGGTATACACCTACTACTAATATTAATAATTAGTTCTCCTCACTAATATAATATTAAGGATAGATTTTATTTTTATTTATTCATTAATAATCTTCTAATTCTGCCGAGTGGTGGAGTAAAGAAGAACTTTATTCCCACTTTTTTCTTAGATTTTATAGCTTCCAACAGATGGCGCTGCAACCGTCCCGTATATACCAGACGTAAAATACTGGACTGGAATTACTATCGTCAATTCACATACTAAACATGGTGATAATGGCAAATCCTCTCCACGTGGTAGAAGCCCATGTCCAACAATGCAATTTTACGGGCTAATGAAGAAAAATTATTTAATAATAAAACTTCTTTGGAGATTCATAATTCTTACTATCATAATTATGAATACAGCTGCCTGTATGTAACTGTGACTGTCTAATTGGTCTAGAGGTAATAAGTGCGTCTGCTGATTATGTAGTCTCGGAATCTTATCCCGTCTCGGGTCAAAATCAGTTAATATTTTTTTCTGTTAAAAAAGTAAAAAGTTAAGAAGTTGGTGTTTTTAGATGAAACAACACCCATACTTCGAAAAGTACGTAAAACTGGTGGGCCTGTGCTTGATCTCCATTCAGCCGTGTCAATTGCTATCCCATCGGAATATTACATTGAAGAAATAGAGTGGAACTGTGTCTGAGCACACACTCGTACAATATAATCCTGATCTGTGCTCTAGGAGACGGAAACTAGGCATCTTTTTTATCGTGGAGAAATTCTCGTGGATACCTTTCTTTCTACCTCTCCCGTCACCGCTCAGCAGCCTCCTTTTGGACCATAACGAATTCACAGAAGGTGGCTAGGGCCCTCCACGCCGAGTCCCTGCTCAGCATCGCTGACACAACTGCTGGCATGGAGAGGTTCTGAACGATTCGACTTACCAGGACCGTCCGCTCCCGTTCCCACGCTGGACATATTGCCAGCGTATGGGATGCGGAGACCTGGTCCTGCCCATCACAGCGGAAACAGTTTGCCGTCGCTTCGCGTCTGATCTTATACAAATAATCACCGAAGTACCCGTGCCCGGTCATTATCTATGTAAGTCTGTAGGTGAGTATTTCTGTTCGTCGATGCATGCAGGCTTCGATGTGCGGCAAGATTGCTACAACAACACGCGTTTGCGCGCATAGCGCTCTTCAAAGAGACGAGCGCGCCACGTTCCGAAAGCGTTAATCGTTCCTAACGCTTAACTTCTTCGAACACCTCATATGGCTCACTCCCACCGCTCTGGTGAAGGACACGCGTCCGGTCGTACACTCTTGCATCTATGACTGCCAGTATGTCCAGAGGTGGAAAGCAAGCCAGGACTGTCACCACTTGAAAAAATATCGTGCGATATTCTCGCACGATTCGTATGGCCATCCTCAGATACACACTGTAGATTTTAAAACTACAGCGCCGGATGGCCAGACTTTTTACCCAATCATGTGCCCCGTATAAGGCTACGGATTGCACCTAATGGTGTGCGCTCCTCATTGCTTCCCAGGGTAGAGAATTAAAGGCGTTGACGATATCGAGACTTATCGCCAACGCTACACCACCCTGATATACTACTTGTTCCAACAAGGTGCGGACGCGCATGATAGCATCTACTGTAGAACGCTTCCATCGGAATCCAATCTGGCTATCAGCCAAATCGGGACAGAAGCGAGGCAGATGCCTGTTGAGCCAAGTGGAAACTATTCTCTCGGACAATTTGCTAATCTCGTCCAAAAGGCATATGGTACAGTATGGCGACTATGAATAGAATAGAATAGAATACAATGATTTTTATTATTATATATTGATTATTACATAATACTTATTGAAAGTCATTTTTTATTTACCACTGGTTCGGAAAATACCTATATCCTGGGATGAACCAGCAAGAAACCCAAAGTTACTTTTTTTAAACATAATTTCACTTAACAATAATTTTGTTTATACAATTTTAAATGTTTTTTCATATAACCAGCATGGTGGCGATCACCATGAGTTATTTTGCCATGTTATGATCCCAGGGGTTATTTTCATTCATGTATTCCTTGATATTATAATAATCCTTTTTGTACAGTTTGTCTTTAATAAAACTTTTAAAGTTGAACATGTTCTGGAATTAAAAATAAAAGCGTATACATTGCCTTATAAACGAAATATTAATTCTGTGGAGGCTAGTAACTGGTATTACAAGTTTATGTTTGTTCCTAGTGTTTAAGGTATAAACATCCTTATTCTTATTAAAGCTATTTATATTTTTATGTACATACATTACATTTTCATAAATATATTGCGATGCCAACGTTAATATGTTTATTTCTTTAAATTTTTCTCTGAGAGACTCTTTAAAATTTAGGTTATAAATCGCCCGAACGGCTCTCTTTTGCAAAACAAATATAGCTTCAATATCAGTCACATTTTTTGTCAAGCCTGTCCAACGGAACTTCTATCAGCCACATCTGCCATCTCTGCACAGGGAGGAGGACTCGTTGGCCCATGCTGCAAAAGAGAAAGCCGATCTGCTAGGTTCTCTCTTTGCGTCCAACTCGACTCAAAATGACGGGGGAACACACCGCCGTTCATCCCGCGGTGTGAGTCCTCCATGCAGGATGTGCTGTTTACAGTGCTCGGTGTACAAAGAACTCCTCTTCCTTGACGTCACCACGTTGAGTGTACCTAATGGCGTCCCTCCTATTGTGCTGAAGACGTGTGCTCTGGAGTTTGTACCGGTTTTAATGCGTCTTTTTCGGTACTCTTACTCCCTAAGTGTAGTCCTGAACTCATGGAAGACAGCTTTGGTGCACCCAATCCGTGACCGCTCAGATCCATCTAACTACAGGCCTATCCCCATCACTTCCTTGTTCTTCAAAATAATGGAAACCATCATAAACTGCTCATGAGGTACCTTGAGGATCACCAGCTGATTATTGACCGCCACTACGGTTTCCGTCAGATCGCTCAGCTGGTGATCTTTTGGCTTACCTAACTCATAGATGGTGGGAGGCAGTAGAGTCGAAGGAGGAGGTCCTGGCCGTTAGTTTGGAAAATGCGAAGGCCGTTGATCGGATTCGACACAAAGCACTTCTTTCGAAGCATCCTTGCTATGGGCTTCCCGAGAAATTATGTAATTGGATCACCAGTGCATGCTCCGATTGATGTTATTACCTAAACTGTTTCTTCTGCATATCAAAGATATGTTGCAAACCGGTAACATTCATTGCTATGCAGACGACAGCACTGGTGATGCTTCTTACAACGGCCACGCCAATATTTCTCGGAAAAACGTCGCCGAGTACGGAAACAAACTTGTGTTTGTAGTCGAGTCTTTGCTGAACTAAGTCTCGGATTGGGGGCGAAAAATTTAGTCCAGTTCAATAGAATAGAATAGAATGATTTTTTTTATTCAATATTGATTATTACATAATACTTATTGAAAGTCATTTTTATTTACCACTGGTTCGGAAAATACCTCTATCCTGGGAAGATCCAGCAAGACACCCAGCTGGATTTTTTTAAGCATATTTCATTTAACCATAATTTTGTTTATACAATTTTTAAATGAATTTTCATAGAACCAGCATGGTGGCGATCACCTTATTCCCAGGGGTTATTTTCATTCATGTATTCCTTGATATTATAATAACCCCTTTTGTACAGTTTTTCTTTAATATAACTTTTAAAGTTATTTATCGACAAACTTTGAACATGTTCTGGGATTTTGTTGCAAAAGCGTATAAATTGCCCCATAAATGAATTACTGATTCTGTGGAGTCTAGTAACTGGCGTTACAAGCTTATGTTTTCTCTCAGTGTTTAAGGTACGAACATCCTTATTCTTATTAAAGCTTTTTATGTTTTTATGTATATACATTACATATTCATAAATATATTGCGATGCCAAAGTTAATATGTTAATTTCTTTAAATTTTTCTGTAAGGGACTCTTTCCAATTTAGGTTATATATCGCCCGTACGGCTCGCTTTTGCAAAACAAATATAACTTCAATATCAGTCGCATTACCCCATAGCAAAATTCCATAAGACATTACGCTATGAAAGTATTTAAAATACACTAAGCTGTCTCAACATCTGTGAGACTTCTAATTTTTCTGACAGCATATGCTGCAGAACTAAGTCTGCTTGCTAATTTAAATATATGGGGGCCCCATTGAAGTTTCGCTTCAATAGTAATACCAAGAAAAACAGTGGTATCCAGAAGACTTAACTCCTCCCCAATTAAGAGCACATTGGTTTTCGACTGTTTTACATTAGGTATTGTAAATTTAATACATTTTGTCTTATTGCCGTTTAAGAGCAAATTGTCGGCGTTAAACCAATGTACTAATTTTAATAGAGCATTATTTACATCGTCATAATTAATTGACTGCCGTTTTAATTTGAAAATTAAAGAGGTATCGTCAGCAAATAATACTATATCGTGATTGTCCCCTAAAAGATAAGTTAAGTCATTAATATAGATTAAGAACAGGAATGGGCCAAGAATCGAGTCCTGAGGAACGCCCATTGATACTACCGGGCCGGAGTTTATCTAGCACCATTCTGTATGGTCGCCCCCAGGCATGGCGACTAGGCATGTAGTCTGCGTTGAGAACTGCCGCTGTGTCAGAAATTTCGTCAACAGGACATTATTATTGCATCCTTATGTATCTATCTATTTAACTATTTCAGATTACACAAGAGTTTTGTGAATACATGAAAGCTTTAGGCGGGGATCAACAATCGAAATTGTTTACAGCTAAAACTATTAAAGAGTTATTTCAAGTGAGTACAAAATAACTGACATATAAGACGTCATTCATAAAAAGTAAAGATCACACATTTCAGGTCAACTTTTGCAACATGATCTCAAAAATGTGTATTGAGAATATTTTCGTCATGCTTTATTTGTGTCCTTTCAGTAATTTTAGCCAACTTCGAAAATAAGAGAACGTTATTTATAATTCGACTGTATGTTTTTTTTTATGTGAATTCCATATAAATATAGAAAAAATATTCCACCTCTGAAGGTGGTAAAATAAGGAATTAAGATTTTAATGTACTTAGTCCTTTTCCTCAAAAGATCATTAAAAAAAATTACATAAAAAGTTAAAGCGGACTTTACAGAAGTAGGAAGAATAAAATTATTTCATATTCTAGATTCGGGTTTTTAACTCTTCTATACACTATGTCTTAGCTCGAACTTCAGAATGTGAAATTGGTCTTTTTTATTTCTTCGAAGTCTGCCTTTGCTTCTTATGTCTTCTAAGTTTTTTAACTGGATCGATCTTGATCGAAATTGGGACTAAAACTTTAGATGTGGACGTTTAAACCAAAGATAATACACACTTATTTAAACGCACATATTCGTATAATACTACAAATTTTGTTCAAGGTGCCACAGTAATTTTTATGTTTTTATTTACAGGTTGAATTTGACACTCATGTCACCCGCAGTATTCAAATAGTACCTAAAGAAATGCCTACCGTTATTGACAATATAGCTGCAGCGACTGGAAATTTGGAGGTTTATTCAAATTATTCTTTATAATCAGATTTCTTGCTGTATAGTGATGGCAAAAGAGGATAGACTACTCCATATTTTCAACCCCTGGGTGTCGTAAGAGGCGACAAAAGAAACTAAAAGAGGAGATGAGCAGCAACGTCTTCCTAATATCAACTCAAAAAAATAAAACACTACTTGAAAATATCCTGTATGAGGCTAGCTATAGGGGAGACCTTTGTTCAGCTGGCTTATATGCTGTAATGTTAAAGATAATGATGATGATGATGATGAATGGGTTTGCTACCGCTAGCAATACAGTTTTATTTTTGATATAGAAAAACAAAAATATTAAAAATTATATTTTATTAAATTAATAGACATAATAATAATATAGCTATCGCGCAATGCTGCATTAGCAAGAGAAATATCAAAAGATATTAAAGCAGAAAGTCGCCCAGATAATGTCCGGGCTTTTGGACGAAGTCTTCCCAAACGAGATCAGTGGCGTGCCCCGAAGAATGATACGAAGAACCAGTGGCATTCCGCTAGACATGTGCCCAATGATTTGGTTACGTTAAAGACTGTGTGGGAAGGCATCACTAATTTAAGGTATAAAAAATTTATGTTTGTGTAATAACTATATATATAATTTGGTTTAAGGTATAAAAACTAATATCTATATATTAATACGTGACGAGAAAACTTTGTACCCTTTCTAAGCATATACTTTTTGTAGTTATAGGTTATTAACTATTTATGTTACTAACTATATTAATATCCGCTAAAATCTATCTAAGTATACATTTAATACAAATGTAACTTGCATGTGTCTGTACATTATATATTTTTGTGACAAAAATGATTGAGGAGGACTAAAAAGAAGCAATTCAACACGTTTATATCATTTTTAGAATTGCCTGTCTGTTTGTTTTTTTTTATGAACGCATCACCAATCAAACAAATCAAAAAATCAAAATACTGATGTCTTTTTGAAGATTCGTTAAAAAAATCATAAAACGTATTTTCGAGCTACATTTGGTATTTGTTTTATCAAAATCAGTTCATTATATCAAAAATTATTAATATTCTGAAATATGGCTACGAAGTACAGGTACGAATTTTTTCAATGGTAGCGTTGAGTTATTGAGTGCATTTTAATCTAATCTCAGAAATCGTAATTAAATTATAATATAAAATAATGTTCTATATGGATATACATATACCTAAAAATATAGTAAACTTAAGAAAGCATAAGTTTTTTTTAGAAAAATTTACTTTCATCCATCAATTGTTAAGCAGTGTCATCGATAGATGATGTTGTGCAAATGTAATTCAAAAAAGCGAGCTGTATTTTTCTATCCCATAGAAAGTGCCTTCATATTCATATAGCTAAGAATACACCAGTGCGATTTCCTGTTCATCTTGCGTCTTCCTCTAATGCATACCTGAGCAATCATAGCGCATGCAATAGCGCATGCGCTAAAACTAGTTCAAAAACAGTTCATGCGCTAAAACTAGTCGCTGATCCGTCACCGGTGGGTTCGCATGCAACTAGACATGGGCATGCAACATTTCGTGCATTTTAGTAAACAAAATGGCGGAAGACAAAATTAAAATATTAGAATTTATCGACGATTATCGAACATATCAAGTATTGTGACAACACAAGAACATACATATATTACACAAATAAAATATAAAAAGAAACTACAGGTAGATTTCTCTGAGCCAAAAATATAATTACGAGTATGATGTAAAAACGGTTAAAAACAAGATAAAGAGCTTGAGGTCATACTTTTCAAAGGAACATCAAAAAGTTACGACGAAAAAGAGTGGGTCCGGAATAGAAGATATTTAGGAATCTTCGATCTTCTTGGTTTGCCTACAAGTCCCGCCAAACCCTGTTCGGACAGCCGCTAGATAACTCTTCCATGTTATGTTAATGTGATCACTGAACTGAACACAATTTTATCCCACGCCTCGAAGATTATCGATTTTAGTGCAACGTCGCGCTCTTTATATTACTCATAGGCAGAATAGCTCATATACTCGTATTAATGTAAACTTTATTATGTAGTTCGTAAATATATTAACGGTAAAACGTAATGTAGAGCTAGTATGCCAATCTAATCAAAGATTTGAATTGTATTTACTTTTAAATAGTGCCTATCTATTATATGGACAAAAAGTAACATAGAATAAAACAAATTTTACTGTGCATAGAAAAAAGAACCATACAGATAGATATTTAAACGGTGATTCTCAACTCCATCCTTCACAGTTAACTACTATGGGTAGTGTTTGTTTCAGAGAGCACGAGGGATCTATGACAGTAAACACCTGGCCGCCGAGCTCCAACATCCTAATTTCAATCTAAAATCTAAAAACATCCTAATTTCAATAGATAAGATGGCTGGGTGCTACCATCTGCTTGGAATCCTATAATTAATAAAATTAAATCCCAACCCAAGTATACAGCAACAAGATTTCAAGATACTATAAGTTCATATTGCGTAGATCAGAACAAAAATTAATAATTTTTAATCTGGAAGTAGCCGTGGTTAACTATGACGTTGGGACGTCAAACACCTCAGTGCCCCCCGTGACTACGGGTGCTGTAAATTGCTCGAAACGTCGGTAATCTATAATATAAAAATGAATCGCTGAATATGTTGCTAAGCGCAAATCTCGAGAGCAGCTGAACCGATTTCGCTAATTCTTTTTTTATAATATTCCTTGAAGTACGAAGATGGTTCCTACGAAGAGAAAAATTTAAAAAATTGCCTGAAAAAGTCTAAAAACAACACTTTTCTATATTCCCATACAAAAGATTCGTAATAATACTTAAAAGTCAATTTGAACTTTAAGTTACCCCTCCATTATAAATTAAATAAAATTTAAAACGATATTACCACAATTATTTCTTCTGCGGCTGTAACGCGCCGGGTACCAGCTAGTATAAAATAAGTTAATATACGCGAAAAAATCCGTAAAATCTAGTTTGATTCAAAAGCAACCATGGTCACGGGCAGGACTTTTGATGACATAGTTAACGTAAGCTACCGCCAACGTTTAAGTTTTTTTTGGGTCCGGTCTACGCACAACGAGCTTACAGTATCTTGAAGTCTCGCAGTAGTACTCGTATGATGCTTAGGTTTGGATTTAATTTAATTAACTATGGGAGCCCAAACAGACAGACAATTCTAATAATGTCAGAAATATGTTTAATTACTTATTTTTAGTCTCTCAATAATTTTTGTCACAAACATATAAAATGTACAGACACCTGTAATTTACATATACACCCATATTTACATATATATACTAGCTCACCAGGCAGACGTTCTGCCCTTTTCGACGACCCTTCCTATAAAAATCTCTAAATTCGCAATAAAAAATTTTGAGGGTCACTTATCGGGATAAAAACTATCCTATCTCTCAATTTGGACTAAACTGCATACAGTGTGCAAAATTTCATTGAAATCAGTTCAGTAGTTTAGGAGTTCTTCGCGGACAAACAACGTGACACGTAATTTTTATATATAAAGATAATTTTAGTTTCATAAGCTCTTAAATTAAGCTAAAATTTCAAAGTTGATACATTTGTTGATATTGTGGCACCTATATTTTTCCAGAAGTGTGAAAGAATACTGCCGATGGATGATCCAGCATCCAGAACATAGGCGAGCTCCTTATCTAAATAGCTTGGGTATGTTCGACCCCACTGTGCTCAACTCTAGACTTACAATGGAATTGCAATTAAGCGCTTCTCCACCACTCCCCTCTAACGACAATGTGCCGGCGCCCATCGAACATATTCGACGTAGACTGTCGGAACTAGTAGACGCTAATCAAACCCTACAATGAAATAGAAAGCCAATTTTTTTCTCAATTTTAAAATGCTTAAAGCATTACTAGAAGATTTAATTTTAACAGTATATATTCGTTTAAGTTAGTATAACTTTAATAATGTATGTAGCAGTATTACAACAAAATCTCTAAGTATTTAATTAATGACGTTGTTTCATTTATTTATCATTTTATGTTTATTCCTGTTTATTCCCCTCTTCCTGTGTATCCTACCTTAATCGTTTCCTCAGTTGTGAGGAACTAGAAATCATCACTATCATCATTACAATTTCTTAAATGTCAACTGCTGAATATAGATCATCCTCCTAGAAATACGACAGAACAAGGTCCTGAGCTCCCTGCATACATAGACTTCCTGTAGCAAATCTTATCAGGCTCTCACTCCATTTAGCAGACCACCCTCAAAGAATTTCACAAAATACGTTCCTAAGCCACCTGCATCCATCGGATTCCTGTAAGAGTTATCAGGTCTTCATACCATCTTGTAGAAGTCTGACACTCTCGAAACTTTATCTTCAATTACGTAGAGAAACTAACTCAATTAAACGTATTTGTTTTACAGAAGAGGGCCATAAGAGCAATTTATGATTTAAAGCCTAAAGAGTCACTGCGACAAAAATTTAAGGAAATTAATATATTAACTTTGGCCTCTGAATACATTTTTGAAAATGTAATGTACGTACACAAAAATAAAAGTAGTTTTACAATAATAAGTGATATTCATTCTGTAAATACTAGGAACAGACACAAGCTAGTAGTACCAGTTACTCGACACCATCGAGTCAGTAATTCATTCTTGGGGCGATGTATACGCTTTTACAACAAAATTCCAGTAAATATACAAAATTTGACCTGCTCAAAGTTCAAAAACTTTATTAAACTAAGTTTGTATAAAAAGGGTTATTATAATATTAATGAATTTATAGATGATAATAACCCTTGGAAATGAGGTGATCGCTACCAAGCTATTTCTAATTTATTGTGTTGTTGATTTATGTAACATACATGATTGTAAGCTGTTATTTAAAAAAAACAGTCCCGCTGGGTTTCTTGCTGGTTCTTCCCAGGACAGAGGTTTTCTTTTTCGAACCAGTGGTAATCATACAAAAGAGTGACTTTCAATATGTATTATTTATAATCTATATTGAATAAAAAAGTTTCTGTTTCTGTTTCCGTATGTAAGATACTAAAAACATCATCAACATCATCATCATCATTACAGCCCTTCAAGTCCACTGCTCAACAAAGGCCTCCCCCAAGGAATGCCACAAAGCACGGTCCCGAACCACCTGCACCATCGACTGCATATCTTACCAGATCGTCACTCCATCTAGTAGGGGGACGCCCTACACTTCGTACGCCGGTACGAGGCCGCCACTCGAGAGCCTTTCTCCCCATCGGTTGTCAGTTCTTCGAGCTATATGGCCGGCCCGATGCCACTTCAGCTTGCTAATCCGTTGGGCTATGTCGGTCACTCTGGTTTTACTGCGGATATCCCCATTTCTAAGTTTATCACGCAGAGAAACTCTGAACATAGCCCTCTCCATAGTTCGCTGAGCGACCTTGAGCTTCCTCATCTGGCCGGCAGTGAAGGACCAAGTCTCAGTTCCATAGGTCATCACTGGCAACACGCACTGGTTGTACAGTCTCGTTTTCAAGTTTTGAGGTATATATACCTGACGAGAAGATGTGCCGTAATTTCCCAAACGCTGCCCAACCGAGTTGAATTTGAGCAGATTATACTCCTATGTCTTCTGTACAATCTGCCGCAGGATATGTATGTGGTCTATGGTACTAAAGCCTTTTCGGAAACCGGCTTGTTCGGGAGGCTGGAAGTCATCAAGTCTGCGTCCGTGTTAAGGTGCTGGAGAGCCATTCTTATCTCGCTCAGACTGACGTTCTGGATATCACCGGAATAGTGTCGGATAAGACTCGCTCTTGGACCGTTACTCACACATACGTGTGGGTCCAACGACGATGTGTACAGCTGCCCATAGAACCTCTCAATCTCACTCAAAATCTCAGGTGTCGCGGAAACGACGCTGCCACACTCGGTCTTCAGCTTTGAGAGTTAGCTCTTTCTAGCAGAGAGATCTCTAGCAAAGACTTTAGAGCCCTGATTTCGCTCGATCACTTCTTCAATACGAGGAGTATTAAAGTTGCGTAAGTCCCGCCGCATGCATTTGGAGATCTGTCTGTTCAGTTGCCTGTATGCTGTCAAATCTACTGAAGACTGCAGTTTCATATCCCGTCTAACAGCCATGAGATTAAGAGTGTGATCAGAGAGGTTTTGTGTTCTTCTGCGGCGCGTCTTGCAAAACTTAGCTGCTACCGCATGGACAGTTTCCACGAGCTTGTCATTCATATCGCCCACTGCATTGCAATCTTCTAAGCACTGAAAACGGTTTTGTAGCTCGAGCTGAAAGGTTTCTGGATTTTGAATTAGAGCACGAGGGGGACGGAGTGTTGACTTCATTAGACGTGACCTCTCCAACTTAACGTTTAGGTTTAGTGTGTCTGTCACCAATCGGTGATCGCTGCCGGTTTTCACCCTCGCGATCACTGAGACATCACTGAACAGTTTTTGTCTGGTCGTCATAATGAAGTCAATCTCATTTTTTGTTGAACCGTCGGCGATCGACCAGGTCCACTTCCTGTGGGACCGCTTCCGGAAGAAAGGGTTCATCATAAAGAGTCCCTTTTTCTCCATGAAGTCGGCCAGCTGCTTGCCCCTTCGGTTCCGTTGCCCTATTCCGAATTTCCCTACTACTTTCAGCTCACCGTTCTCTCTTGTGCCTAGTTTTGCGTTGAAGTCTCCCATTAACACCGTATAGTGGGTTTTGGAGGAATGCATGGCTCTAGAGATATCCTCATACATTTCCTCCACCTCCTCATCGGGGTGTGCCGAGGTTGGTGCGTAAACCTGTATGACCTTCAGCGAATACCATTTGGTAATTCTGAGTATAAGGTACGCAACCCTCGTCGATACACTCCCAATCTTTACAACGTTGTTAACGATAGACTTGTGGACGATAAATCCTACACCTCCTTGGGACAGATGGTCGCCCTCCCGATAATAGAGCAAGTTGCCCGACTCGAGGATTACCGTGTCCACCCCCTCTCTTCAGACCTCGGATATTCCTATGATATTCCAGCGCAACATGTCTATCTCTTCTTCCAGCTCCAGGATCTTCTCGTTAGTCCTCAGGGTGCGTACGTTATAAGTTGCCAGTCGTAGGTGGCAACCGAACCTCCACCGGAGATTCTTATCACCCCCTGCCCCGCCGTTACTATGGTTGCCACCGTAGCCAGTGGTCACGCTTTGCGAGCGGGTTGGCAACCGCAGTTTTTTTATTGTTTTCTTTTGCTCTTATCAGAAAGTTGCTGCTGCCCATCCTCTGCCTCAGTTTCCCTATGTCGCCTTTTACGACAACCACGGGAAGATATGGGGTAGCGAGTATTCTTACCCGTCACTACACGGGTAATAAATATAATATGGATTTTTTTAAAAGAACGCCAATAAAAATTCTAACAATAAGTTGACTTAGTTAACAAATGCAACTCTGAAACTTAATATATTACAGACTTTGAAACAAAAAGCAAATAAAATCCTCCTTTTTAAAATTTTGTATTATACGGGTACATAGGTATAGTTATTCTATTTGACGTCGAAGGTTTGACTTTGGTTGTGTGTCGTGCACATTGTGTTAGTGTGCGTAGCCTTCGGGAGCGTTCAGTTGTGAAAAGAATAACTTCAGAAAAAGTCACCGTGATCAGCCTAAAAGCACAGAATAAATAATATTACTAAAAGTCAGAATAACTAACTACGTTCCAAAATAACGTTGTTCCTTCGCGCCGTTACTCCTGTCACTGATTTAACCAAACAAAAGGAACTACGCGTACCTTGCCACTGTGTAACTAGGTACGTGTACTGTGTACTGGAACGAAACACCGACTGATCGGTTAGGTTAGGTAAAATTCGTATATTTCAAAAATAATAATTAGAATGGTTCTCATGACATAGCCACGTAGCTTAGGTAAAGAAGGTATTAAAAAATCGACTACTGAAATAAAACCTAATACTAAATCTAAACTGCTTATTTAAAGTCACGTTATGAGTCGTTCTAATATTCCAAGTAGTTATCCAACATTGTTAACGTTACAAAGTCACAATGATTTTTTACTGTGACTTTTTAATAACTGGAACGACGTTCACGGTTATTTAAAAATAAAACTTTTCCCCTAGTCTAGTCGCGGAATGATATGAATATTCAGACACTGCCACTACAAAGTAATTGACAATTTCTAAAAAACATTTTATTTATCGACAACAATCGTCGTTTCTCTAGCGTTCACTTGATCTTCATACAAATTAATTATTAAACTATAAGTTATACTAACTTCATTTAAAAAAAATATTGTCATTGGTCTGACCTATTATACTTTTTGGCTTGACTATAGGTCTGACTAAGTTGGTCCATCAAAATGTCAGGCCCTAAGAGGTTAAACTAAATTAAAAAATTATGCATCAACAGATTCAGTTTTCAAAACGATTTTTAAAATTAAAAAGTAACATGAATCTCCAGTATATGTATTATACATACATTAAATGACAAATATTTTAAAATCGCTCTGTACATGAATGATTAAAAGAAAAATGTTATGAGAAAAGAAAATACTCATGATATAAAATATGAAATTTGTTTTATTAGAATACAATATTTAACATTTTTTTAATTAACAATTATAACTAATTAATAACTATAAATAATGGCCATATAGATCGAACAACTGACAACTGATGAAGAAGGAAGGATCTCGAGTGGAAGCCTTGCACTGATAAGTGAAGTGCAGGATGGCTTTCCACTAGATGGAGTGACATCCTAGTTAGAGATGCAGAAAAGCGATGGGTGCAGGTAACCCAAGACCGTACTTTGTGGCATTATTTGGGGAAGCATATGTTCAGCAGCGGACTTGTGATGGGCTGTAATGATGAT